GAAAGCTAAACCATTGATGCCAAAGTTTAAGGACCAAGATATACCAAAACCTTTTTTTTGGGTATAATAAGGACGCAAATTAAAGAAATCTGTTCAATTACACGTGTCGTATTTACAAAAATGGTTAATGAAGCTAAATGCTCAGGAAATTCCCGGTGGTTTCAAAAGAGCGCGCGATAAAAACCTCGACTCTTCAAATGAGGAGCTGAAGAAAAACTATATAAATACCACCTTCAATGAACTGAAACTCTTGAATGTCTTCTGCATTTTATTTTCTTCCTTGCCAAACAGCGACCTCTCTCTCTTCAGATCTCCGTAGTAGCAAATCAGGTTAGCTCTCTCTCATGCGATTTTGAGAATTCTGAAATTGTTTCATCTTTTCAACTCATGCTCTTCGTAAAATTTAGGTTTATGATCGATACTTGGAGCCTTGTTCTTTTTTTTGTTTTCAGGATTAAAGAAAATTCTGTGATATCAATCGTGATCATGTAGTGTTCGGTTTGAATTTTTCGAACGTTTTGCAGATTAATTTTTGACGGAATTAGATTGATTTGCTAAGAGTAGGTCAGAATAGAAACTTGTTTGGTTGTTTTGAACTGTGAATTATGCGAATACGAGCTCTTTCTTGTTCGCTTCTATAGATCCAGACTTCATTTGAATTGTTCTAGTGCAAAATTTCTCTCGTCTTCCAGTTTTGTTCAAGTTTGATTCCTGAATAATTCGTTTTAGCCTTTCAGATTTGTGTCTTAATGCTCTACTGTTTCGTTTTAGCGTTTCAAAATCGCATTTCTTGGTTTCTTTTCTTTTTTTTTTTTTTGAAACTGTGGAATACTTCAATGTGCATTTCCATGTGAATAAGAAATTGGAATTCATATCCACTAGTATCTTCTTTACAATGTTATTAATTGTAAAGTCTACCTATGATTGCAGATGGAAGAACCACAGAAAGGAACTTCGTCGGCCAACGCAAAAGAGACTAAGTCATTTCTAGGTATCCTTTTTGTCGTAGTTTTGACTAGTGTTGAGAGAAAAATAAAATTCAATTGTGTTTCAGTCTCTTCAAGAAAGGATGATGGTAATAGGAAAACAATAAAGTACACAATTAAGGGGTGTGATATCTCATATAGATGTGACTGGAATTTTAGGTTACTGCAGATTTTCTAGGAGTCAATATAAGAGCTCAAGTAGTCATTCCAAATGGTAACGCAGGGCTGAAATTATGTTTTGATGTCGGGTGGATTAATCTGAAAAAGCACATTCAGGACAGGGTTTGTAGTTCTGTTTTTGCAGCTTGCGTTCTCAGATGCAGAAGAATGTTGAAGTAAATTTACCAGCTTTATACTCTTAATATGACTTGGATGATATAATAAAACTTTATACTCCTATTGAATCAGATGAGGACATCGGAAAGGATTTCCTCAGCTCCTGGAAATCAATGTCAGTTGCTGATGATGACGCAATGGATTTTAGCTTTAATACAGTTTCCAGCGGCAAGAACAAATTCAATTTCGAAAAACTGTAAGCAGTACTAAAAGTTTGTGTTGTTAAAATATCCTTTATTCGAAGTGTATGTGGTGATCTTGTATTTCATGCGTAGCAAGATGTTTTAAATATGATGGACTAGATATCAGAAGTTTCAAGATCGCTCCAAATTAAGAGAAACAACACCCAGAAAATGTAAGACTGCAAGTTCCAGATGTGACCTGTAAAGAGATTTTCATTCTTCTGTTCAGGAACATGGATTTCAATCTGGATGGAGATTTTGACAAATTGTCATCTTTCAAGGTGGACATGTCAGATTTTGATCTCTCAGCCCCATCAAAGAAAGCTACAAGACTGAAAGAAAGACTAGAAGATGAATCTTCAACTGAAAATCGTTATACGACGGGAGGAGTGACCCGGACGATTCAAGGTGGACATGTCAGATTTTGATCTCTCAGCCCCATCAAAGAAAGCTACAAAACTGAAAGAAAGACCAGAAGATGAATCTTCAACCGGAAATCGTCAAGGGTTCAATTTCTCATTCGACTTTAATGAGTAAGTATTAACCTTATTTGCTGGATAAGTTTATATTCTTGGGAACTTGGCACCATCAATATTAACAGGTTTAAATTTGACTTTTGGTATTACTTTTCTGATCCTTTTGATTTTGGATATAGGCTGGATAGTTTTAATTTCGAGTCCTCGTTGGCAAAAGAAGAAAAGGCTTCTAGCAAAAAGCAAGATGATACAGAGAAAATTTCTTCAGATGGAAGTGGAACCGAGGGTCCAGGTTCAAAACTTCAACTTGATGACATAGCCATGAAACTTCCAACATCAGAGGATGTGACGACTCCCAATAGTGAAGCTTTGTTGTGTGGTCCAGGGAATCTTAAGTCCACGAAAAAGGATCAAGCAATGGATGTGTCTTCTGGAGATTCTATTTTGTTAAATAGTGCTAGATCTTCTCCAGAAAAAGCAATGAGTAATAGCACAGAAGCTATAGATCAACAAATTCACCTGTCCGAGAAGGCAATTTCCAAAGAAAGATATTCTCAGCACGCCGTTCTCAACTTTCCTGGTCAATCTTTTAATGGTGTTGATTCAAACAGAGATACCCTTAAAGATGAGAAGACTGAAAGTTGTCAAAGGGGCAATGGAGTGCATATCACTTCAAGTCGAAGAGAAGATGTAAATGACAAAATGATGGATGGTGTATCATCTTATCATGAAGACTTACCCTCGAAGAATTCGTCTCCACCGAGTATCTCTAATTCAGGAAAAAATAAAGGCTGGATGAATAAGTCAGGCAGTGATGTATCAACAGTAAATGTGGACGGTAATGAATCAGCTGAAGGTGATTTAGATCTAGAAGAAAATTCCATCAGCTCTATCTCAAGGAAAGCTCTACATGAGATCAAAAGCAGTAAGGAAAACTGTACTTCAAGAGCAGAGCTTCCTGAGGCTAATCTATGCAGGTCAGAAGTCCATGCTTATAATAGTTGCAATTGATGTTTAATTGACCGAATTCCTCAAGTTAGTGAGTTCAAATGGAACAACCAAAAGAATGTTAAGAATCCTAACAACGCAAGGTGAGGCAATTACATTAATAATTTTCAGCTAACAGCATATATTCTTGACAGTCCTTCCAGAAAAGAATTAGACAATTTATACAATAACTAAAATGCACACTGCATAGCCACTGTCGTGCTCAGATGGCAGTCCCTTTTAATTTTCAACAGGGAGGGCTTCAGTTCTGATCGTTTACCAAATGGGTCCAAACTAGTTGGAAAATCCCACCTGTATGGAGAAGAAGCAACAAGAAGGCTACCTGTTATACCTGCAAGTGACAAGAAAATTAAGGATCAGAATACTTTAGAGTAAGACATAATGGATCTCCATTGATTTTAAACTTAGCTAACGTTTGGTAGAGGGATTTGTTCCCTGATTCGAACCATGATTCGTGGTTCGCTACAGTATTTTCTCTCACAAAAAATACACATAAATCGAAAATGGTTCGAATCACATGATTTGAATCATCCAACCAAACGTCCTCTTAGTTTTCTGTTTTTCCCTAGCTCGAAGTTAGCTGTATTATTGACAGTTACTGTTCAATGTTTAGATTCAACTTGTTTTTCTTTTCTCTTTGGGTGCGTTGCTTTTTGGATATCTCTCCTTGAATTTTCTCCTATTTGCAGTGTCTCTCAATGAGAAAAATAAGTATATTAACAATGATATTGGCTGGTGAAAAAAAAAAAGCCTTTGCGACAGCAATGCCAAATTTGTTGATATCTTTTGTTATCATTTCTTGTGGACTTGACTACATTACTTAGATTTCTTTTCGGAGGTGTATGTCGCAACTTATGCCCTTCAAATACACTAATTAATTTTGAATAGCAGCTTGCATCAAGTATTTGATTGTTGATATAAGCTCTGAAAGATGAATTTCTTGCAGCCTCCAAGTTTCTCCTTCCAGCGCATCAGAGAAGCAGGGTAAACTTACTACTCAGACATGTGCAAATTCCAAACCTTTTGTCCCGAGCATGGAGTCTGTGCAGAATTCAAGGGTCAAACCAATTGAAGGGAATAAACTCTTGCTTGTCAGAGCTGGCAAGAAGATGCCTGATCTTGCTACCATGAAAATTTCCAAGTATGGCGCTAAGACAGTGTTTCATATTCTTCAATGCCTTACTGTGGGGAAAAATTTTGTGATTTAATGACACAATGTTAAAAATGTAGAACTACAGTGGAAGCTTACAAAGTTTCATCGGATTCTACTCAGAAAGAAAGTGGTTTCCCGAGGAACACAGAACAAAACGTGGAAGTAGATGGAAGTACTGCATCAGAGACTTCCCATCCCTTCAAGAGCAATGAAAAAAAGTCGCTGATGAACTTGTCTTTGAAGCGAAAAACATTTGAGGTTTTTGTAGTTGAAACTTTTACATATGCATGAATTTCCTGAAAGAATTTATCATGACCGTAGTTAATGTAGCTTTTGAAGCTTTGGCATATGTATTTTCTGAAAGCTTTATGACTGAAATTTAACCAATATCTAAGCAATTCTATTTTACAGTTATCCAATTCAGATCTATCATGTCAGAAGCCTCTAAAGCGTCTTTCTGAGTCGCTGCCCAAAATCAGGTCTTTCATTGTACTAAGACATATTTCTTCTTAATTTTCCTTGTTTTTTCTCACCAAAGACATGTTTTGGGCAAAACTTTATGCAGAGATCTTAAGGAACCTCTTAAAAGGGTTGCTGAAGAAAAGGTACAATATAAAACTTGATTGGATTACACATGAATGCTACATCATATAGGTGCAAGAAAAAAGGCTGATACTGGATTCCACTACAGTTTTCTACTGCAGGAAAGAGCTTAAAGACTTTGAAATTCCCTCCAGAGGGAGTTAGTGAAAACAGGTCTTATATGATGTCGATGATTTTATTTGTTCTTATTTCACAGTGTTGATTTCTTACACGAAACATGCTCTTTTTCCCTATCAATGTTGCAGAGATATCAAGGAACCTTTGAAAAGAATTGATGTAAAGGAGTCTTTCAAAAGAATTGATGTAAAGGAGTCTTTCAAAAGAATTGGTGTTGAAAAGGTAACATCTCCACCAAACTGGTGGGATTACTCATCTCTGGTGAGAGGCACAACTTTCATAGATGTAGAAAAAAGTTGACCGTTGGTACGCTATTACTAAAGCGCCCTTAATGATTGTAGGTTTGCATTGACAAGAACCACGTAGAGAGTAAGACCAAGAGCATTATCTACAATGTTCCAGCCTCTGCAATTGACAGTCCTCAACAGGTTAATATGATGGAATTTGAAATTTCATCAGTAATGGAGAATGATGGAAACGTTGAAAAGGCTGAAGCATATGCAAAAGAGCTAGAAGATGTGAGTAAATTACCAATTTGGTTTTTACGCAGTGTGTGGTTCTGTTCCTTTACTGAATATCACATATTGACATGCAGAAGTTCTAACTTTCAAGTGACTTAAAACTGCAGACTTGAAAACAAATAATTAAACAATTGAAACAAAATAATAGGCTTTGGTTGCTAAAGAAGCGAAGGTAATTACATATGCATGACATAATGTCTTTATCTGAAGGTCGGTTACATATGCAAATGTGTGGAAGACACTCTTTTGTTTAATTTTCCTATAAACAAACAAATCATTTTCCCTTGCAATACTTAATAAACTCTCTTCCTTCACTTTAACTGTTCAAAAACTACGTAAAATGGATTAGTCCAGCCAGATTCATGGTATTGGAAGAATCTCAGTAAAAATGCAGCTAAATGTGTCACATCTAAAGATATTCTCTGTCCTGCTAAGTGTTTGTATTGGCTGTTGCTAACTTCATAGGGCTTGCAGAAGGAAGAATCAATAAACTACTTTTCTACAGTTCGTCATGTTCCAACATAAAGATTAGTTTGGGACTCAAAAGTATGACAAATTGTGCTATCATGCACCAAAATACATTTTTGAGAAGCACTTTAGTCTTATTCTAAATAATTGATCTCATTTCAATTTAGCATTTGTGGGAATAGTAAATGTCTCTCTCTCCTGTCAGTATATGATAATTTCCCTACTCCAATCCCTTGTGCAGATTTGCAATATGCTGAAGAAGAAACACGAGGAAGCCAAAGAAATACTCGTACGGGCAATTGTGAACAACAATAATCTACTCATGCTGAACCACCCCATCTCTGAAGAGAAGATATCCTTCCGACTTATTTTGGTTTTATCCTTCTGCTGATATTGCCTTCTATTTATTTGTATGCGGTGTTGAATATCCTTAATAACTAAAAACATCTACAAGGTCCAGAAATTTGCTGCAGACCTGATGTCCAAGGAGATTAAAGTGTGATAGGAAGGATCAATAGTTCTCACATAAAGGTATGCTTCTATGCCTTTCTTACACTGTCACTGACATAGAGATGCTTAAAGAAATAGTTATTTTGGTTCATAATAAGGCAAGCAATTCCTTTTCGAACTATGTTGTGCCACATAATGTTCGATGGACGCCATTGGAGTTTGTTGTGCTCAATGGAATGTAATAAAGGATCGGATATTTTGCTGAGAAACTCTACGGGGTTGTTTGGTTGGGGGATTCGTACCCCGATTCGAATCATGATTCATTGTTCGCTACAGTGTTTTCTCTCAAAAAAATACACGTAAATAAAAAATGGTTCTAATCTTATGATTCTAATCCATAAACCAAACGTCTCCAACATTTAAGTGGTGAAAGATATTACTTTCACGCATAGAGATCACACACCCTGCATTTCTGCAGTTATTCATTGGTTTAATCCGGAATCAAATCTCATCTGGATTTCATCAATTTCATACTGCTTCCAATTGGCTTCTATTTGAAATTGGAAAATGAATAGTTGATAAGTATCTTGTCCTCTTAAGTTTCAGTTTACTTGCGGTTTCAATGACTGACACTTGTCATCGTCAATTTTCATTAGGAGATTGTGAATGAACCACCTAGTATGTTGGTTGCAATACGTCATCCAGCACTAGGTTAATGGATAAGTTTTCTACTAGAAAATACTGGGATTTGGGAAGGACACTAAAAAGAGAAAACTACAAGAGAGTTGGATTGGCATGAAAAACATTTTTAAAATGAAAAAAGAAAATAAAAGAAACTGCTAAAGAAAGAAGCCCACTGAACCTGTAGCAAGTCTACTCGCAGTACCAAAGCATTATATGAGTAGTGCGGGTGGTGAAAGAAGCCAAGAAAAGCGTGGTTATTTAAAGCCCAATGGGAAGCCAAGGAAACCGTGGAGGAAGAAAGCTCATCCACTATTTATTTAGGCCGTCCCTAGTTTCTAAGGACTAATAAAACAAACCACTTAGCAAAGAGGAGCTTAGAAGGGAGATTGAGGATTTAATAAAAGGATATTCAGTTAAAAAGGTCCTGGTTTTTTCTGCAGAGAAAAGTATAATTGGCATGTCACACTCGTCACCAGCCTGGTCGGTATTTGTTTTTGTGATCATTACAGAATTAAAGGATTCACTAGGGTTCATGAGGACAACTATAAAGCATAACAACTAAACAAATATTAGGCCCACGTTGTTGTCCATTATGATAAACATAACCATTTTTTTTTTTTTTGAGAATTGTCTATATATAGTATACTGTATTAGTTGAGTGTCTACAAGCCAGACTAGTTTTTCTACATGTTGTCAAGGAAAATGGTTAGGAGGAGAATTTGTGCGTGCCTTGCGCTGATCTTACTTTTATTTCAGAGCCCTGAAACACGCTGTCTTAATCCACGTTTGGAGAAAAGTCTTATCAGGTCAAATGAAGCATTGATAAAGTATTATAGAGAGTTACGTAATATGGAATTAGGAAAAGATGAACATGCAAAGACAGCCAAGTACAAACCCAACCGAGAGAGTCCTGGAGGTCCTGATCCGCGACATCACTAACAAAATCAGCAGTATCTTGTCTTGTTTTGTTTTCGCTTTGATTTGATTTTGTCTTTTGTTGGGGAAGGAAATAGTTCTCTATCTCCTACCTAAATGCTTGTGATAAACTAATGTACTAGATTTTGTTTCGTGTGCGTGGGATGAGGACTCCATTGCACGAGCGGGTGGCAGAGCTAGGGGCTAATTTGTTTTTCTGTTTTTGTTTTGTTTTGTTTTTGTTTATTTTTTTTTTTATTATGTTATGTGTTTTTTTTTTTTTTTTTCGGTAGAACCATGGGGCATTATAAAGTTTGGAATAGAACAAATTAGTCATTTCACAAAATGAAACATTCCAATGCGTACGAAAACTTAACAAAAGAAAAAAAAAATATAAATACAAGTTCAAAATTGACAACAGATAATACAAATAAAATTTTGAGTGGCACATTGTCACAATATTGAAACTGCAGAGGAATTTAAGATATTTTTTCCATTTTAAGTATTGTTTTTTGGGTGAATAAAAGTGTGGGGGAGTAATGACAGCTGTAGCTATTTCTTTCTGGGCATGACCAAAAGAGCCCCACAAATTAAGAAATGTTTGCATTGATCATCATCTTGATTCTATCACGGGCTAATGAATATTGAGTTAGTAGCCTAAAAAAAGTCTCAAGTACTTCCCATGGAACTCAAATCAGAGACAGCTCCCTCACATTTATCAAATCATTTGGGAGTAAGAACAGTACCGCTAGGCTACCACCTCATGCAGTGCAAAAGCGTAAAAAAATTATGGAAAAAAAAAAAGATAAATCTTCCAAAACTCTGTTGATTCCACATAATACCGGAAAATAGAGAATCTATGAACCTGTTGAATACAAAGAGCATAAGCATCAGCCACTCATTTATTCAATCCGCAAGACTTCCTCTCTCAAATGAAAGATTACAATCCTAGGACTACATAACTCGTCCATATTCATGACTCAACATTAAAACTAAAAACCTTCCAAAATTCAAAACCCCAAAAATAAATATTAAAATTCAAACTCTTAGAATAACACATGGCTTTTTTGCATTCTAAATTCCCAAACATAAGGCTTTTTTTGCATTCCATCTAATTATATACTGCATCTTTTCTTCCAGCATGAAGAAAATTTGTACTTGAATCTGAAGTAGCTTCAAATTGATATGAGAAAAAAAAAAAACACACACACACACACACACACACACACACACACACACATATATATATATATATTCGCCAACTCTGAATGACCTATCTTTGGAGCAAATAATTTGTTGAATAATTGACTAAGCCAAGCCTTTTTCAAAATAGGTGAAAATAAAATTAAGGATCCGTTTGTTTCGTATACTCAAATAAAAATAATTGATTATGTTATAATGTTTCTCTCACAAAAAATTTAAAATTTAAATATTAAAATAAAAAATCATAATTTGAGTATGCCTTTCAAATGGGCCCTAATTGTATCAAAGTCATACACAAATCCTTTGGGAATATCTTGAAATGTACTGCCCTGATATTTATGCAAAGCAACTAAATTATCCTCTCACTATTGGAGAATGCTCTTTAATGGAGACTGTACAAGAATTTGATACTAGATCTTCTTTTCCTTTATCGATTTCATTGAAAATTGGTCCACAATTGATTTGTTCACATTCTTTTTCTCCATCACTTTGGTTGAAGATTGGACCAATATTAAATCTTTCACTTTCTTCTTCATCGACACTTTCATAAAAGATGGACGGAAATTAAATATTTCGCATAATTCTTTATGTAAAAATTTGGCTCTTCATCTACAAAAACATCTTTCTCATTCAACAGTGGTGTCATTAATAAGAGAGGCAGAGCCAGAGCAACAATTTATTTCGTTAATGCTTGGACTTGGTATCATGGCAAGGCAAACTTCAGCACCTCGACCTTTTGCTGGAGGGAGGGCAAATGCATCGGCATTGGTATCGGCAGATGTGATGGTATGGGCACTGTGATGACGACAAGCGACTCAAATTGATTTTGAGAAAGTTACTATTTTCTGTTTTTAGATAAATTACTTTTTTCAGTTTTTGGGTAAGCTTATTTTATGGTTTATTAGGAGTCTATGAATAAGTGTTTTATGTAAGGCTTTATGTGTGTGCTCAGATAAAAGTGTAGAGACAAAGTGCCTCCTTTTGAGAGAGAGAAAAGTGAGGAGAGAGATAGACAAATGTGTAAGGGGTTTTGGGTGGAGAGAGAAAATAAGAAAGTTTGTTGAGTATGTAACTCTGAAACTGTTAGTGAATTTTTCTCACTCTTCCGTGGATGTAGAAAATTTTTCCGAACCACCTAAATCTTTGTCTTCTCTATTTTTATGTTATTTTTGTTTTAGTTTATTTTTCTGCTGTGTGGGTGTAGGGGTGTGTTTTTTCTCCCAACAATTAGTATCGGAGCTGTAGTGAATATCTAAAAAAAAATTAAGATGATGTCCGGGATAAAGTTTGAGCAGATTGAGCGTTTTAACAGGAAGAGTAATTTCAACATATGACAGAGTACGGTGAAAGATGTTCTAATTCAGCAAGGATTACTGAAAGCGTTGCAAGGAAAGAAGCTAGAAAATATGAAAGATGAAGATTGAGAAGAATTGGAAGTGAGAACGGTAAGCACAATTCGTTTAAGTTTGGCTTATGAATTTAAATATAGTGTTATGAATTAAGCATATCCTTTTGAGTTATGAAAAAAATTAGAAAAAATGTATATGACGAAATCCGTAACAAATAGATTATATTTAAAGAAGCAATTGTATTAGTTGAAGATGGATGAGAAAACTGATGTTAGGAATCATATAAATAATTATAATAAGTGCATAACTCAATTGTTAAGTGTAGAGGCTAAAATTGATGAGGAAGATAAATCGGTAATTTTGTTGGCCTCCCTACTCAAGTCATATGAGATTTTGGTAACTACACTTTTAGTTGGAAAGACGACGTTGACTGTAGGTGATATGTCAACTGCTTTGTTAGAGACTGCAAATATGAAAAACTCTAGTGTTATGTCTCATACTAAACAAGTTTTAGTCCCACAGTCAGATTCAAATAAGGGTAGGAGCAAGTCGTGGGGGAGATGTTATAATAAAAGAGATGATCGTTCCCAATCCCGCCCAAGGAAGGATATTGAGTGCTATTATTGACATAAGAAGGAACATATTGGGAGAAACTGTGAAGAACTGACGAAGTATCTAGAAGAAAGAAGAAAGCAAGAGACCTAAGAGGCTTCAGATTCTGTAAATGTTGTTGGCGACGAGTATGATAGTGAAGATGATGTTTATACTGTTATTGCTGATGAAAATATTTCTAACTTTTGGATCTTGGATTCTTGATGCTCGTTTCATAAGTGTCCACGTAAAGAGTGGTTTGATTCTCCTAAGCCATGTGATGCCGGTACTTTGTTAATGTCCAATGATTCTAGTGTTAAAGCTGTTGGAGTAGGTACTGTGAAGGTGAAGATGTTCGATGGAGTTGTTAGGAAATTGACAAATGTTAGGCATGTTCCTCAACTAAGGAGAAGTTTGATTTTTTTGGGGGCTTTGGACACTTTGGGTTGTGAGTATTATATAAATGGTGGTTTTATGCAACTTAAGAGAGGTGAATTGGT